CGGCACGGTGGGGAGGCAGAGCCCTGTCCTCATGCGGATTGTTTTACACCTTCCCCAATGAGATATTTTCCTTTTCCCTTTGCAGCCGCTCCGGCCGCTCTTTCTCTCCCTCTTTTCATGGCAAACGAAGCGTGGCATTTCCCCGTCCCACCTGGCACCCTTGCCCGTTTCTCCTGCCAGCGCTGCCCTCACCCAGCAGGAACTGAAACCAGTCCCCTGCCCCGGGCGTTGTTTAGCCCTGTGTAACCCCAGGAGCTATTATGGGGCTGGACCCACTTTTTTTGGGGGGGGTGTGTGCATCTTGGCCCCCCTTTTTTGGCCTTAGGAGGACCTCATTGTCCATTGGAGGGGCCCTTAGACCTCCTTTTGTGGTCCGTTGACGCAGATATCTCCCCTGGGGTCAGGAGAACGTGGCAGAGGGTTGATTTTTGGGGTGAAGGACGCTGAGGGGGTGGACAAGATATAGGGTGGGGGTCACCCTGAGGTGGGGAACACCCAACTGACCCCCCCACACACTCCTCATTTGTGTCCTCCCCCACCCCTCAAGGTCACACCATCGGCATCGGGGACTCCATCGCTGACGCGAAGACCTACCAGGACATCCAGAACACCATCAAGAAGGCCAAACAGGACGTCATTGAGGTTGAGGGGGGGGGCTTTTTTGGGGGGCAGGGGGGGTTCCCCGAGGTTTTGGGGGGATTTCCCGAGGTGGTGGAGGTCCTGTGGGATCTCGGGGGTGGATTTGGGGTTCTCCACGGTTCTTGGGGTCTCCCTTGGTGACGACGGTGAGGTTGGGAGGTACCTCCGAGGGGATTTTGGGGCTGTTTTGTCATGTTTTTGGGTACCCCCTCTGTCTCTGCAGGGTTTTGGGGGTCCCCCCTCCCCGTGATGCTGTGGGGTGGGGATTTAGGGTTCTCCTCGGGGTTTTTGGAGCATCTTTGATGATCTTGGACCATTTTAGGGCACCCCCAGTGATACCAGGAAGGTTTTTGGGGTGCTCCTCGGGGATTTGGAGTATCCGTAGTTCCCCGAAGACGGTTTGGGGTGATCCACGGGGTTTCGGATCATCACCAGTGACCCCGGGACATTTTGGGGGTGTTCTCTTGGGTTTCGGAGTGTCCCCAGTTGCCCTGAGACATTTTGGGGTCCTTCCCGGGGTTTTGCATTGTCACTGGTGACCCCGGGACATTTTGGGGTACTCTCTGGGCTTTTGGAGCACCCACAGTTCACTGGAACATTTTGGGGTGCTCCTCAGGGTTTTAGAGTGTTCTCTGTTCCCCTGGAAGATTTTTGGGGTCCTTCCTGGGGTTTTGGATCATCACCAGCGACCACAGAACATTTTTGGGTGCTCTCTCGGGTTTTGGAGCATCCGTAGTTCCCCTGGGTTGTTTTTGGGGTGCTCCTCAGGGTTTTGGAGCGTCCCCAGTTCCCCTGGGTCGTTTTGGGATGCTCCTCAGGGTTTTGGAGTGTCCCCAGTTCCCCTGGAAGATTTTGGGGGTCCTTCCTGGGGTTTTGGATCATCACCAGCGACCACAGAACATTTTTGGGTGCTCTCTCGGGTTTTGGAGCATCCGTAGTTCCCCTGGGTTGTTTTTGGGGTGCTCCTCAGGGTTTTGGAGCGTCCCCAGTTCCCCTGGGTCGTTTTGGGATGCTCCTCAGGGTTTTGGAGTGTCCCCAGTTCCCCTGGAAGATTTTGGGGGTCCTTCCCAGGTTTTGGATCATCGCCAGCGACCCCGGGAAGGTTTCGGGGTGCTCCTCAGGGTTTTGGAGTGTCCCCAGTTCCCCTGGAAGATTTTGGGGGTCCTTCCCAGGTTTTGGATCATCGCCAGCGACCCCGGGAAGGTTTCGGGGTGCTCCTCAGGGTTTTGGATCATCACCGGTGACCTTGGGACATCTTGGGGCGCTCCTGGGGTTTTCGGGGTGCCCCAGTGACACCGTTGGGGGGGGTGTGTGTGTCCCGCTGGGGGTGACAGGTCATCGAGAAGGCCCACAACAACGAGCTGGAGCCCACCCCGGGGAACACCCTACGCCAGACCTTCGAGAACCAGGTCAACCGGATCCTCAACGACGCCCGAGACAAGACGGGTTCCTCCGCCCAGAAGTCCCTCTCCGAATACAACAACTTCAAGTCCATGGTGGTGTCGGGGGCCAAAGGCTCCAAAATCAACATCTCCCAGGTATTGGGGGGTCCTATGGGGTCTCGGGGAACCCCTATGGGGTCTCGGGAGGTGCCAGGAGGATCTCAGCGGGGTTTGGGAGGGTTCCTGTTGGGTTTTGTAGACATCTGTGGAGTAGTCTTGGGTGTCTGTAGTGGTTTTGGGCACCAGGAGCTCTGAGGTGACCATCTCCCAGGGATTGGGGGGCCCTATGGGGTCTCACTGAGCTTCTGTGGGGCCTGATGGGTCTCAGGAGGATCTCAGTGAGGTTTGAGAGTGTTCCTGATGGATTTTGTAGACCTCTGTGGGGTCTTCTTGGGGGTCTGTGGTGGTGTTGGGCCCCAGGAGCTCCAAGATTAGCATCTCCCAGGGGTTTGGGGGCCCTATGGGGTCTCGGGGTCCCCCTGTGGGGTCTCGGGGAGGTGCCAGGAGGATCTCAGTGGGGTTTGGGAGGGTTCCTGTTGGGTTTTGTAGACCTTTGTGGATCTTCTTGGGTGTCTGTGGTGGTGTCAGGGGCCAAAGGCTCCAAGATCAACATCTCCCAAGTATTGGGGAGCCCTATGGGGTCTCGGGGAGGTACCAGGAAGGATCTCAGTGGGGTTTGGGAGGGTTCCTGTTGGATTTTGTAGACCTCTGTGGGGGTTCTTTTGGGCATCTGTGGTGGTATTGGGCCCCAGGAGCTCCAAGAGGTGTTGATGGACCCCTCTGAGGTCCTCCCCCCAACCGTGGTGTCCTCCTCCAACCTCCGTGGTAGGTCATCGCGGTTGTGGGGCAGCAGAACGTGGAAGGGAAGCGGATCCCCTTTGGTTTCAAGCACCGTACGTTGCCCCACTTCATCAAAGACGATTACGGCCCCGAAAGTCGGGGGTTCGTGGAGAACTCCTACTTGGCCGGTCTCACCCCCACCGAGTTCTTCTTCCACGCCATGGGTGGGCGAGAAGGTCTCATCGACACCGCCGTCAAGACGGCAGAAACGGGTCAGTCCAACCTCCAAAAATCCCTCCCGCAAAGGTTCCCTCGTCTTCTCCGTGCGCCCCAGAACTGTGGTGGACCCGTCTTTGTGGTGGGAGGTCACCGGGGATTGGTGGGGTCTTCACTTGAGTGGTGCAAACCTGCGGTGTGTCTTCCCCACGCCTCATCGTGGGGGTCTGCTGGGACCTGTGGGCCCTGAACCCTCCCCAGATGCCCCCTGGGACCGCCAAAGTCCTCCAGGACCCCCAAACTCCCCCCACATACCCCCAGATGCCATCCAGGACCACCAACCCTTCTCCAGATCCCCTTCTCGCCCCACTTACTGCCCCTGGAAATCCCTGTGTCCCCACATTTCCTCTCTGGAGCCACCCAAGGACCATCAAACCCTCCCTAGATGCCTCCATGGGCCCTCTGAAGCCCTCCAGGACCACCAAACCCTCCCTAGATGCTTCCTGGGGATGTCCTCAAAACTCTCTAAGCCCACCAAACCCTCCCTAGATGCCTCCTGGGGCCCTCTGGAGCCCTCCAGGACCACCAAACCCTCCCTAGATGCCTCCTGGGTCCCTCTGGAGCCCTCCAGAACCACCAAACCCTCCCTAGATGCCTCCTGGGGCTGTCTGGAGTGCTCCAGGACCACCAGACCCTCCCTAGATGCCTCCTGGGGCCCTCTGGAGCCCTCCAGGACCACCAAAACCCTCCCTAGATGCCTCCTGGGGATACCCTCAAAGCTCTCCAAGCCCCCCAGGGGTGACAATGTGTCCCCTCGTCCCCCTCGCAGGATACATCCAACGCCGTCTGATCAAATCGATGGAATCGGTGATGGTGAAGTACGACGCCACCGTCCGGAACTCCATCAACCAGGTGGTTCAACTGCGCTACGGAGAGGACGGGCTGGCAGGAGAGAGCGTCGAGTTCCAGAACTTGGCCACCCTCAAACCCTCCAACAAGGCTTTCGAGAAGAAGTGAGGGGCCACCCACACGTGGGGTTTTTGGGGTGGGGTGGACTTCTGGAGGGACCAGAAGCCGTCTGCCCTAGAGCCGAGCCCCTTTTGGGCTCCTTGAATTGCTCCTTCCAAGAGTTGGACCCATCTTGGGGTCCCTCAAGCTGCTTTTCCCCAAATTGGGGCACGTTTTTGGGTCTTCGAGATCCTTCTCCCCAGAGCTGGACCTGTTTTGATGTCCCCAAGCTGCTCCTCCCCAAACAGGGGCGCATTTTGGGGCCTCCCAAGATGTTCCTTTCTAAACTGGGGTGCATTTTGGGATCTCCTGAGCTGTTTTTCTTCAAATTGGGGGTCCATGGTGGTGTCCCCGAGCTGCTCCTCCCCAAACTGGGGCATGTTTTGGGGTCTCTGAGCTGTTCTTCATCAAATTGGGTCACATTTGGGTGTCCCCAAGGTCCTCTTACTCAACGTGGGTCACATATTGGTGTCCCCAAGCTGCTCCTCTCCAAAGTGAGACCCATCTTGGTGTCCCCAAGCTGCTCTTCTTCAACATGGGTCATGTATTGGTGTCCCCAAGCTGCTCCTGCCCAACTTGGGAGACCATCTTGGTGTCCCCAAGCTGCTCCTCCACAGAGCTGGGTGTATTTTGATGTCCCCGAGCTTCTCTTCTCCAAAGTGGGACCCATGTTGGTGTCCTCAGGCTGCTCCTGCCCAACTTGGAGCCCATGTTGGTGTCCCCAAGGTGCTCTTCCTCAACGTGGGTCACATGTTGGTGTCCCCAAACTGCTTTTCCTCAACGTGGGTCACATTTTGGTGTCCCCAAGCTGCTCCTGCCCAACTTGGAGCTCACATTGGTGTCCCCAAGGTGCTCTTCCTCAATGTGGGTCACATGTTGGTGTCCTCAAACTGCTTTTCCTCAACGTGGGTCACATTTTGGTGTCCCCAAGCTGCTCCTGCCCAACTTGGAGCTCACATTGGTGTCCCCAAGGTGCTCTTCCTCAACGTGGGTCACATGTTGGTGTCCCCACACTGCTCCTGCCCAACTTGGAGCCCATATTGACGTCCCCAAGCTGCTTCTCCCCCTCCCGACAAGCGTGTTGTCCCCATCCTTGCCCTATCCCTGGTGGCCCTGTCCCCCTTCTGCCACCGACCCTCCCCCCCTGTTGTGTCCCACCCCTCCAGGTTCAAGTTCGACTACACCAACGAGCGGGCGCTGCGGCGGACGCTGCAGGAGGAGCTGGTGAAGGACATCCTCTCCAACGCCCACATCCAGAACGAGCTGGAGCGCGAGTTCGAGAAGATGCGGGAGGACCGCGAGGTCCTACGGGTCATCTTCCCCACCGGGGACAGCAAGGTGAACCCCCCCGGGGGGTGGAGGGGACACACACACATGACACCCCACAACCTCATCCCCCTTCTTGGGCTCCCAACACCCCCTGGGGACGTCCCTGGTGGTGCCACCACCCCTTTTTTTTGGGGGGTCGTTGGGTGCACGACCGGTCGTCGCTCCTCTTTTGGGGTGTAGGAGGAAGTTCTGACCCTCCCCCCTTGCCCCATAGGTGGCATTTTTGGGGTGCTGCCCCCCTTTTTGGGGTGTATCAGGAAGCCATGACCCCCCCCTTTTCTTACAGGTGCCCTTTTTGGGGTGCTGCCCCCCTTTTCGGGGCGCTGGCACTTTCCATGGCCCAAATTTGGGGCAACCAACCCCAAATCTCCTTTCTTTGGTGTACGTTCACTTACCGCAGCCCCTAATTTGGGGGTCCTGGCCCCTAATTTTGGGGTGCTGACCCCCCATTTTGGGGTGCTGACCCCCCCATTTTGGGGCACAACCCCCCCGTACCCCTTCTTTGGGGGTGCAGACCCCCGAGACCCCTATTTTTGGGTGCTAACCCAGACTTTTTAGGGCGTGTGTACCACCGTGGCCCCGATTTTGGGGTCCTGACGCCCCGTTTTGGGGTCCTGATGCCCCTTTTTGGGGTGCTGACCCCCCCGTTTCTTCCCACCCCCCCCCAGGTGGTGCTCCCCTGTAACCTCCTGCGCATGATCTGGAACGCTCAGAAGATATTCCACATCAACTCCCGCCTCCCCTCCGACCTGCACCCCGTCAAGGTGGTGGAGGGTGAGTTGGGGAGACCCTTCCCCACGTTGAAAGGGGGTGGGAGGAGGTCCCAAACCCATAACCACGTGTTGGGGAGGGACTTGGGGGGACCCCCGACATTCCCAGGGGGGTTCCGGGGGGATCTGAGGACCTCTGTGACCCCTTAAGAAGGTCTTAGGGGGCTTTCAGGACCTCTCGTGGTGCCCAGGAAGGTCCCAGGGGACTTGGAGGACCCCCAGAAAGGTTCCAGGAGACTCGGGGACCCCCCCAGGAAGGTCCCAGGGGACTTGGGGACCCCCATGACCCCCAGGAAGGTGCTGAGGGACATGCAGGACCTCCAGGAAGGTGTTGCAGGAGTTGAGGAACCTCAGAAAGGCTCTGGGAGGACTTGAGGGACACACACCACCACCACCCCCCCGGAAGGTCCCAGGAGATTTGAAGGACCCTCAAGAAGGTCCCAAAGGACTTGGAGGACCCCCCACGACCCCCAGGAAGGTGCTGGGGGACACACAGGACCTCCATGAAGCTTCTGGGGGACTTAAGGACCTCATTGACCCTCAAGAAGGTGTTGTGGGACTTGGAGGACCCCAACGATGCCCAGGAAGGTGCTGGGGCACTTGGGGACCCCCCAAGGAAGGTTCCAGGGGACTTGGAGGACCTCAACAGCTCTTTGGAGGGTGCTGAGGGACACGCAGGACCTCCAGGAAGGTGGTATGGGACTTGAGGAACCCCAGAAAGGCTCTGGGAGGACTTGAGGTACCCCCAGGAAGGTGCTGAGGGACTTGGAGGGCCTCAACAGCTCTTTGGAAGGTGCTGGGGGACACACAGGACCTCCAGGAAGGTTCTGGGGGATTTAAGGACCCCAATGACTCCCAAGAACATGTTGGGGGACTTGAAGGACCCCAACAAGCCCCAGGAAGGTGCTGAGGGACATGCAGGATCTCTGGGAAGGTGTTGTAGGACTTGAGGAACCCCAGAAAGGCTCTGGGAGGACTTGAGGAACCCCCAGGAAGGTGTTGGGGGACTTGGAGGACCCCAACGATGCCCAGGGAGGTGCTGGGGAACTTGGGGACCCCTCCAAGGAAGGTCCCAGGAGACTTGGAGGACACCCAGGAAGGTGTTGGCGGACTTGAAGGTCCTCAACGACCCCCAGGAAGGCACTGAGGGACATGCGGGACCTCCGGGAAGGTGTTGTGGGACTTGAGGAACCCCAGAAAGGCTCCGGGAGGAGTTGAGGAACCCCAGAAAGGCTCTGGAAGGACTTGAGGAACCCTTGGGAAGGTGTTGTGGGACTTGGGGACCCCCCAGAACCTTCTGTCCCCCCCGTGACACCCCGTTGTTGCCATCAGGGGTGAAGGAGCTGAGCCGCAAACTGGTGATCGTCAACGGGGACGACCCGCTGAGCCGTCAGGCGCAGGAGAACGCCACTCTCCTCTTCAACATCCACCTCCGCTCCACCCTCTGCAGCCGCCGCATGGTGGAGGAGTTCCGCCTCAGCGGGGAGGCCTTCGACTGGTTGCTGGGGGAGATCGAGTCCAAGTTCAACCAGAGCATCGTGAGTGGGCTTTTGGGGTGAGACGTGGGGGTTTTGGGGTGAGATATGGGGTGTCCCGGGGTGCCTTCGACTGGCTGCTGGGGGAGATCGAGTCCAAGTTCAACCAGAGCATCGTGAGTGGGCTTTTGGGGTGAGACGTGGGGGTTTTGGGGTGAGATATGGGGTGTCCCGGGGTGCCTTCGACTGGCTGCTGGGGGAGATCGAGTCCAAGTTCAACCAGAGCATCGTGAGTGGGCTTTTGGGGTGAGACGTGGGGGTTTTGGGGTGAGATATGGGGTGTCCCGGGGTGCCTTCGACTGGCTGCTGGGGGAGATCGAGTCCAAGTTCAACCAGAGCATCGTGAGTGGGCTTTTGGGGTGAGACGTGGGGGTTTTGGGGTGAGATATGGGGTGTCCCGGGGTGCCTTCGACTGGCTGCTGGGGGAGATCGAGTCCAAGTTCAACCAGAGCATCGTGAGTGGGCTTTTGGGGTGAGACGTGGGGGTTTTGGAGAGCTCCATGGGTTTGGGGTCAGATCCTGGGGTCTGGAGATGACATTTATGGGGTTTGAGGGTCAGAACCGGGGGTTAGAGGTGAGATGTGGGGTGTCCCGGGGTGCCTTCGACTGGTTGCTGGGGGAGATGGAGTCCAAGTTCAACCAGAGCATCGTGAGTGGGCTTTTGGGGTGAGACGTGGGGGTTTTGGGGTCAGATCTGGGGGTTTGGGGTCAGATTCTGTGGTCTGGAGATGAAATTTAGGGGGTTTTGAGGGGCGGATTTGGGCTTTTGGAAGCAGATTCTGGGATTTAGGGGTCAGATCTGGGGCAGTTATGGGGCAATTTTGAGTCTAGATTCATGAGATTCTTGAAGCCTCATCTAGGAGGGCTTTGGGTCTGGACCCGGGCCGGGTTTGGGGTCACCCTGTGTCCCCCCCAGCTGCCCCCTGGGGACATGTGGGGCGGGAGGAGACGCAGGTCTGGGGTTTTAGGACCAGATTTGGATAATCCTTTAATGTGGATTTGGGCCAATTTGGAACACAGATCTGGAACCTGTTCTTGAAGCCACATCTAGGAGAGCTTTGGGTGCAGCTGTGGGACATTTTTGGGGTCCCTCCTGACACCCCGTGTCCGTGTGTGTGTCCCCCGGCTCCAGGCCCACCCTGGGGAGATGGTGGGGGCGCTGGCTGCCCAGTCGCTGGGTGAACCCGCCACCCAGATGACCCTCAACACCTTCCACTACGCTGGAGTCTCGGCCAAGAACGTCACTTTGGGTGTTCCCCGGCTCAAGGAACTCATCAACATCTCCAAGAAGCCCAAAACGCCGTCGCTCACCGTCTTCCTGCTGGGTCAGAGCGCCCGCGATGCCGAACGGGCCAAGGTAGGGCCGCCGTGGGGATGGGGAGGTGGGACGTGGTGGATGGGGAGGAGCAGCAGGAACGTGGGATCCTGTGGTTTCCCCGTCCTGAGTTGGGTGGGGGTCCTGGGCTGGGGTGATCCCGTGGTGTGCATACAGCTCTGTGGTGGCCCCATGGCTTTGTGTCCCCATGGTGGCCCCATGGCTTTGTGTCCCCATGGTCCTGTGGTGGTCCCATGGCTTCATGATCTCCTGGTCATGTGGTGGTCCCCATGCCATCTTCCACATCCCCATGTTCTTCTTCGTTGGATCCCCATGTCACCTCTCGTGTCCTTCATGTCATCCCTGTGTCCTCCATGTCACCCCCCTGTCCTCCATCCCTGGATCCCCATGCCATGTCCCACGTCCCCGTGTCCTCTATGCCATCCTTGTGTCCTTCACCCCAAGTCCCCATGTCATCTCCTGTGTCCTCCATCCCTGAATCCTTCCATCTCCCACGTTCTCTATCCCTGGATCCCCGTGCTCTCCATCCCTGGATCCCCACGTTCTCTGTCTCCCACATTCTCCATCGCTGGATCCCCGTGCCGTCCTTGCGCTGACACCGTGTCACCTCCTCCAGGACATCTTGTGCCGCCTGGAGCACACCACTCTGCGCAAGGTGACGGCCAACACCGCCATCTACTACGACCCCAACCCTCAGAGCACGGTGGTGGCTGAGGACCAGGAATGGGTCAACGTCTACTACGAGATGCCCGACTTTGATGTCAGCCGCATCTCGCCCTGGCTGCTCCGCGTTGAACTTGACCGCAAGCACATGACCGACCGCAAGCTCACCATGGAGCAGATCGCCGAGAAGATCAATGCTGGTGAGTTCGTGGGGCACGCTTTTGAGGGGGGGTGTCTTAGGTGTCGTCCTGGATGAGCCTTGAGGGTATCTGGAGGACTTTTGGGGGGGACCTGGGTGAGCATTGAAGGCATTAGGGAAGACTTGGGGGTCCTGGAGGGCCTTGGGTGAGCGTGGAGAGCATCTGGGGGTCTTTGGAGGGTCCTGGGTGATCCTGGAGGGTCATTGAGGGTGTCCTGGGTGAGCCTTGAGGTCATCTGGAGGACCTTTGGGGGTACCTGGGTGAGCATTGAAGGCATCAGGGAAGACTTGGAGGTCTTGGAGGGCCTTTGGAGGGTCTTGGGTGAGCATGGAGAGCATCTGGGGGAACTTAGGGGAGACCTGGGTGAGCCTTGAGAGCATCTGGAGGACCTTTGGGGCCACCTGGGTGAGCACTGAAGGCATTAGGGAAGACTTGGAGGTCCAGGAGGGCCTTTGGAGGGTCCTGAGTGAGTGTGGAGGATCTTTGGGGGGGTCCTGGGTGAGCCTTGAGAGCATCTAGAGAGCTTTTGGGGTGTCCTTGGTGAGTATGGAGAGCACTAGAGAAGACTTGGGGGTCCTGGGTGAGCCTTGAGGGCATCTGGGGGGACTTTGGGGACCTTTTGGGGGGCCCTAGGGAAGACATGGGGATCCTGGGTGAAACTTGAAGGCATCTGGGGGGACTTTGGGGGACCTTTGGGGGGTCCTGGGTGAGCCTTGAGGGCATCTGGAAGGACTTTGGGGGGTCCCAGGGAAGACTTGGGGGTCCTGGGTGAACCTTGAGGGCACCTGGGGGGACTTTGGGTACCTTTGGGGGGTCCGAGGGAAGACTTGGGGATCCTGGGTGAACCTTGAGGGCATCTGGGTGGAGTTTGAGGACCTTTGTGGGGTCCTAGGGAAGACTTGGGGGTCCTGGGAGACCCACCACGCTCCTGAGTGATCATGGAGGGCCTTTGGGTGACCGACCAGGTGACCCCGGAGTGTCACCCCCGTGTCCTCTCTTTCTCCAGGTTTTGGGGATGACCTCAACTGCATCTTCAACGATGACAACGCGGAGAAGTTGGTGCTGCGCATCCGCATCATGAACAGCGACGAGAACAAGATGCAGGAGGTGGGGAGAGGGTCGGGGGCCACCCATGGGTGGGGGTGGCGGGGACACCTCGCGGGCTGGCTGTCACCTCTCCCTGTCCCCCTTTTGGCGTCCCCAGGAGGAGGAGGTGGTGGACAAGATGGATGATGACGTCTTCTTGCGCTGCATCGAGTCCAACATGTTGACGGACATGACGCTGCAGGGCATCGAGCAGATCAGCAAGGTGGGGGCAACGGCGGGGGCACCCGTGGGTGCTGGGGCTCCTGGTGGGTCTTGAGGAGCACGTGGAGGTCTCCACAGGGACCTTTAGGAGGTCTCCACAGGGACCTTTAGGAGATGAAGGACACCCATGATGACACCTGTAGGCAGCTAAGGAGGTCCATGGCTGTGTGGGGTGTCCCCCAGGTAGCACCCGTGGGTGCTTGGGGAGGTGTCGGGACTCCTGGTGGGTCTTGAGGAGCACTGGGAAGTTCTCCGTGGTGACCTTTAGATGAAGGACACCCACGATGACGCATGTAGGCAGCTAAGGAGGTCCATGGCTGCGGGGGGTGTCCCCCAGGTAGCACCCATGGATGCTCGGGGAGGTGTCGGGGCTCCTGGTAGGTCTTGAGGAGCACTGGGAAGTTCTCCGTGGTGACCTTTAGATGAAGAACACCCACAATGACGCATGTAGGCAGCTGAGGAGGTCCATGGCTGCCCAAGGGTGTCCCCCAGGTAGCACCCGTGGGTGCTCGGGGAGGTGTTGGGACTTCTGGTGGGTCTTGAGGAGCACTGGGAAGTTCTCCGTGGTGACCTTTAGATGAAGAACACCCACAATGACGCATGTAGGCAGCTGAGGAGGTCCATGGCTGCCCAAGGGTGTCCCCCAGGTAGCACCCGTGGGTGCTCGGGGAGGTGTCGGGGCTCCTGGTGGGTCTTGAGGAGCACTGGGAAGTTCTCCGTGGTGACCTTTAGATGAAGGACACCCACGATGACACCTGTAGGCAGCTAAGGAGGTCCATGGCTGCGGGGGGTGTCCCCCAGGTAGCACCCATGGGTGCTCATGTGGGTTCTGGGGTTCCTGGTGGATCCTGAGGAGCACGTGATGTTCTCCATGAGCACGTTTAGGAGGCTCAGGATGCCCACGGTGATACTGGTAGATGCGTTTGAAGGTCTGTGGCTGACGGCCACCTGAGGAGCACCCATGGGTGCCACTAACCCCCTCTTCCCCTCCCCCCCAAAGGTGTACATGCACCTACCGCAGACGGACAACAAGAAGAAGATCATCATCACTGAGGACGGGGAGTTTAAGGCCCTCCAGGAGTGGATCCTGGAGACCGACGGCGTCAGTCTCATGCGGGTGTTGAGCGAGAAGGACGTGGACCCCGTCCGCACCACCTCCAACGACATCGTGGAGATCTTCACCGTGAGTTGGGGGTTACCCCGACACCTGGGTCCATGGGGGGTGGGGTTCCTGGACAGCTGGGTCCGTGGGGTGGTGGGGTTCCTGGACACCTGGGTCCATGGATGCTCGAGACACATGGATTCCTGTGCTGGTGGGCTTTCCAGAACATCTGGGTCCATGGGTGGTGGGGTTCCTGGACACCTGGGTCCATGGATGCTCAAGACATGTGGATCACTGTGCTGGTGGGATTCCAGAACATCTGGGTCCTCAGGGTGGTGGGGTGTGATGGACACCCGGGTCCCCAAGGTTCCCAGATAGCTGGGTGGTGGGGTTCCTGGACACCTGGGTCCTTGGATGGTGGGGTTTGATGGACATCTGGGGTTTGGGGACACCTGGGTGGTGGGGTTCCTGGACACCTGGGTCCATGGGTGGTGGGGTCTGATGGACATCTGGGGTTCAGGGACACGTGGGTTATGGGGTTTGGGGACACCTGGGTCCTTGGGTGGTGGGGTCTGATGGACATCTGGGTCTCTGGGGTTTGGGGACACGTGGGTTATGGGGTTTGGGGACACCT